CTTGTAATTTGGTTTGAGATCTAAACACTTGATTAGAGTCAGACTAAATTTTTTTTCTTTAGTCAAATATACATCAGCCCTGGCTGGGTGACTCAGTTGGTTGGAGTGTCCTCTGGTACACTAAAAAGTTGCAGGTTTGATTCCTTATCAGGGCATAACCTAGGTTGCAGGTTTGATTCCTAGTCAGGTAGCATATGAGAGGTAACGATGGCTGTTCCTCGCTCACATTGATGGTTCTTTCTCTCTCCCTTCCTCTCTCTCTAAAATCAATAAAACTATGTCCTTGGGTGAGGATTTTTAAAAAAATCCTAGGTGGTGCTGTGTCGTACAACATCAGGAGGCACATAATTTCTAGATGTCTTAAATTTAGTGGAGCCAAGATTGATCAATGGACTCAGATGGTGTCCACTTGACCCTTCATTGCAAAGCTCCTTATTCATCTTTCACCTAATAATTTTAGCATCCATTGATGACTATTGTTTAATCTATTATTGCATTAGGGATAGTATAATAGTGAATTTCTATTTCTGTCATTTCTTCTTCCTTTACTAGCTGGAAATCTTCTATGAAGAAGAATTTTCTCCTCATTAACTATTTGATAACCCTGGAAAAACAATTTGTCTAGAAAAGACTAAATAAATACTTGATTTCCTCCCTTTATCAGTATTCAGAGTAATGAGTTGATGCACTAGAAACCTCCAGTTACCCATTTGTGTTCATAATCACCATAAAGGTATATATTTTACATATTTTGTGTGGTCAATACATTACAGTCATTATTTTTATATTCAAATTGTCCTATCTTAAGCAAAATAAGAGTCCCTTCAAGTTGGCTCCTATGTGCTTTTGACAGGATTCCCATTGGCTTAAGATGAGCCAAAGACATCTTGATGACTTCTGAGATTTCATGCTCCAGACATTCAGCCATCATTTCTCTATAGGTGCTTGGTTTTCTTTTTTTAATAAAAAAAAAATAGTATTTAGAGACCACAAATGAGCACTAGGGTTGCTAATCACTCTTGAGTTGTCACTATTTGTAGATCTTTTGTAGATCTTTTGGGTAGAGCTTTTTTGTTTTGAAGAAAAAAATATAAGTTCATACCAATATTTCCAAATTAAATTTAAGATCACATACTTTTACTTGATTTCTTTTTAAAATTGTTTTAATATTTAATTTTTTGTTATTGTTGTTAATCTTCACCCAAGGATATATTTTTTCATTGATTTTTAGATAGAGTGGAAGGGAGGGAGGAAGGGAGAGAGAGAGAAAGAAACATCAATGTGAGAGAGACATATCAATTGGTTGCCTCCCACACCACTCTGACCAGGGCTGGGATCAAACCTGCAACCCAGGCATGTGCCCTTGACTGGGAATCAACTCTGCAACCCTTCAATTCGCAGGCCAATGCTCTAACCCCTGAGGCAAACTGGCTAGGGTGATTAATTTGAAATTTATGTCTATTATCTCTTATGCTGAAAAGTTTAGTTTTAATAACATTAGCATAATTACTTGTTTAATTCTAAAATACACCAATAAGAGTTTCAAAATAATAATAGTAACTACTTAGTACAACTACTGGCTGCACTTTATTAATTTACTTATTTTTATTCCTCGCCTGAGGATATGTTTTTTATATTGATTTTAGAGAGAGAGGTGAGAAAGAAACATCAATCAGTTGCCTCCCATACACACCCTGACTAGGGATCAAACCTGCAACCTGGGTATGTGCCCTGACTGGGAATCAAACCTGCAACCTTTTGGTGCATGGGAAAACACTCAAACCAACTGAGCCACCCAGCCAGGGCCTTACTGCACTTTATTTTTCCTCATTTTGGGCCACAAAAGGTAACATACAAAAGCATTTTGTTTTGCCCTAGCTGGTTTGCTCAGCTGTTAGAACATTGGCCCTCAGACCAGAGAGACCTGGGTTTGGTTTCCACTAAGGGCACGTACCTCGTTGGCAGTTTGTCCCCAGCCCTGGTTGGGGTCGTGTGGATGGCAACCAGTCAATGTGTCTCTCTCATTTGATGTTTCTCTCTCTCTCTTCCTCCCCCTCTCCCTCCCGCTCTATCTGAAAATAAATGCAAAAATGTCTTCAGGTGAGGATAAAAAAAAAAAGCATTTTGCTTTTTTAATCTTAATATATTTTGATGATCACTGTAAGTCATATTTTGATGATCACTGTAAGTCATATTTTTTACAAGTCATCCTTTTTGTTTTTTACAGCTCTACTTTATTGTATGGATGTAGATGGATTCTTTTTAATGTTTCTGACACAAACTTCACATTACTTCTCATGTATTTTATTGTCTGTTGAGTGCTTGTGAAAACCTACATATTCTAGAAAAGTTATAATTAGACCATAATTCCTAATAATCTGGCTACATTAAATAAAGGCAGAATGCAAAGATTGGAAAAGTGAAAACTCTCAACTAAACATTGTAGTTTGAATACACACCAATTAAGAAAGAAAAAAAGGACTAAAAAAATGTAGGGTGGGAGAAGCTACCCTAAAATTATTAATAACCTATAATTTTACTACTAATTAAAAAATGGCAATCATTTGTCATAACACAGATTCTCTGGAAACAGAGCCTCAAATCAAAGCTTATATGCTAACACTTAACTTTGAGGGGGAGTGGTCATGTGCAATCTCAGGGAAGCAGAAATGAAGGGAAGAGGAGGGAGAGCAAATACATGGAACATGCGTCTGAGCTGGCTTCAGCTCCACAACGCACAATGTACAACGCACACAGAGGAAGGGCACTCCATGGGCCTTCCTGCATTTCTCCATTGTATCTCCTATCCCTTGCAGGAAGTTGCTGGGGAAGCCAGAGCCTCTGCTTGTCCATTTAGGCTGGTAATCAGACACAGCGGGGTCTGCTTGTGGTCAGCTTCTTGGGTGGGGCCTCTTGGGTCTTTTATAGCGGGAGGTAGCAGTAACAGTGGCCATGCTTCAAGACAGCATTGTGGGCTTCTCCTGCCAGGAAGCCGCCCAGGCTTCTCAGGAAGGTCTGGCCAACCTGGAGGGCCACACAAACTGGGTCTGACTTACAATTCAAACTTAAATCATCTAAGACTTCTGTCCTTATTCAGAAATCTTTGGTACCAGAAATTGTTTCAAACACAGAGTTAGAACACATCTTAAGAAGTCACTTAATATTTTTCATTGACAACAAACCATAAAATATTTTACTTTTGAAAAATCTGAAGAATCTTTTACAGTTTCCCTCAGTAGCCCATTCTAGTATCTAAACAGAGAATTTTAGCTCTTTAAAAAATCAGGCTATTATATTTCAGCAACTTGTGACTTCGGTGACTCTCCCCCTAGGCTAATAAGTATACTGACCATTTAAAAATTATAAAAGTTATGATAATTAGAGGGTGATAATGAAAAACTATTCAAACATTGGGATGTAACTTTTATATGATGAAATTCACAACCTCCTTTTAGGAAGAAATCAGTATTTCTGGTCAAATATAATGTAATTATAATAAATTCTAATGGAATTAGCAAATATTCTGAGAAACTAGCTTTTCTCACTCTCTGTTGATTGTCAGTCAAAAGTTTAATCGTCTTTAACCAAATGTTATTTTATCTTTTGTATTAATGTAAGTAGTCACCTTTAAAAAACACACGCACAGCCCTGGCCAGTTTGGCTCAGCGGTTAGAGTGTCGGCCTGCGGTCCGGAGAGACCCGGGTTCGGTTCCCGCTAAGGGCATGTACCTCGGTTGCAGTTTGTCCCCGGCCCTGGTTGGTCGTGCGGGTGGCAGCCACTCGATGTGTCCCTTCACATCGATGTTTCTCTCTCTCTCACCCTTCCTCTCTCTCCCTCCCACTCTATCTGTACAAAAAAAAAAAAGGAAAAATATCCTAGGGTGAGGATAAAAAAAAAAAAACACACGCACAAAAATGACATGTCTCTAATTGGAGTGACTCTGAATTGGCCTGTTCCTGGTCTTTTGTCTTGTGGCAATATTGAAATCAAAGTTTAATACATGCTCATAACTAAATTACCTGAAAGGTTATTTAAATTGTTGTGAGGTTCATATGTCAAATATACATAAATATTGTTGTGATAATAGATATGCCTTACTTTTTCCTTTATGATAATGACTCTGTGTGTGTGTGTGTCCTACATTTTATCTCACTCAGATTAGTACATTATAGTGGCAATAACCGACCTTAGGGATCTATGAGAGTAAAGAGTTCTGTTCAAAGACTACAAAGTTAGATCCTTCACATGCCATTCTATTAATATAGTAAATATTAATTATATTTATGGGAAAGAAAGAAAGGGGAGAGGGAAGGAGAGAAGAAAAGAAGAACTCTCTTTCTACTAGTGGGTAACTGTATCTGTATAGTAAGAACAACACAGGTACTCACTAGACAGTTTTTTAATGAAATGAATGACTATCCCTCTGGGAATATTAGATACACTATTCTTGAAGGTGCAGAGATGGAGTAGTTATTGTCAGCTTTCTTCCTGTTCTATAATTCTGTGGTTTTTTTGACTACTAAGAATTGGTTAAGTTGCAAATATATTTTAAAGTCTGAAAAGCAAAATGCTCTCAGATAAAAGTCAGGGAGAAAATACTTCTCAACATGTCCACTTTAGCACCAGGGAAGCCTAATAAATCTCATTATTATTTACATGGATGCGCAATGTAAATTCATAAAAACTATGCATACCAACAGAACTAACTTGTGGCTGGAATATGAACCTTAACTGTGCCAAGTTTCTTTCTATCCAATATGAGCCATCATGTGTTCAGTTGTGCACATATGAGTGCAGGCAGCCACTTTTCCAATGTATAGTTTCTTGTACAGATAAGGAAAAACTGCTGAAGTCATGAGGCTGCTTCTGCAGAGCCCTCATGTGAGTCATATGAAAGCTCCAGCATTGCTGACCTCTGGCAAAAAGGGAGTGAAGGAGGGCAGGAGAGGCAGGGAGGGAGAGGTTCAAGTGCGAGTTTTCTCCTTGAGCGCAGAAGATTATGGGTCAAGAGCTGTGCGCAAAGACTCTCCAGCCTGGATGCAGCTGCCATCGCTGTTGGGAGGGAGGCGATGCACACAGCTGTCAGAGGAGTGCGCCTGTGACGACGGAGGCTGAGATCGAGGTATTTGTATCCCATGAGCAGCGTCTTTATTGATAAACCAAGGAGTGCAGAGACTCCCTTATCTGTAGCAGGGTCTGATTTTTCTGCGGTAGGTCCAATAAAAAGAAATTTCTGTTAAAGTCACAGAGAATTTATGGCTGTTGTTATCAAATTTGAGGATTTTCTTGTAAACCAAAAGGGTAAAAATAATAATATGCTTTGGGCTGCCTGAAACTCAATTGACTTGAGGTCGAGAAAGCAGTTGTTATTTTCTTGAAATCTCTCCAGTACTAAACTACAGAGCTGAGCCTTTAAAAGCAAGCTGCAGTATTTCTATGCTGTGAATTCAAAATTTCACTAATTAGCTCATCGTTATTAGCAGTGCCATACTAGAAAATTATCTCCCCAAAGTGATAAATTAAGAGGACATGGAAAAAAAAAAAAAAAAAGAGTGAAGAGACAAATTGAAAACCATCCATCAAAGAAATTTAGGTTAACCTAAGTTGTTTTTTAAATTTATTAATTTTTATTACAGATTTCCCTCCTCTTTCCCCTCTTGACACCCTCCTCCCCACTCCCTCCCCCCACTTCCCATCCCCTACCCCCTACACCTTTACCGTACTGTTATCTGTGTCCATTGGTAGTTTACCTAAGTTTTAAAGACATATTTTTAGGTGAAGAAAGAATGTAGTGTTTCAACAATTGAGATCATTAACATTTTTTAAATGATCCGACTTTCAGGAAAGGTGCCTTTGGGGGTACAGAAGCTTAGAAAATATTTGAAAAGTGAAAAAGAAAAGAAAGAAAAAGATAAAGGCAAAAAAAAAAAGAAAGAATTGTTTATGTCAGCCACTAAATCTTGACTTTGCATAAATTTTATTCCTGCACTTTCCTTTCTTTCCCTAGCTAACAGACCTAAAAGAAGCATCATGTTCCATGACTTCATTTCACCCCAGGGGACTTCAGACTGTCCGTGCCCGGAAGTTCAAGAGTAAAAGGCCACGAAGTAACAGTGAGTCTTTTCAGGAAGAGGATCTGAGGCAGGGCTTTCAGTGGGTGAGTGAGCAGCTGATGTTGATCAAGAAGGATTTAATGTGTGCTTGTCTAGGGAGGCTGGCCCTATTTCCAGGGCAATTACTGAGCAGACCTTCCAAGTACACTCTGGCAAATTTCTCTGGGAAAAAAGTCAACACTAAAAAAGTCCTCTTTCTTTCTTTCCCGCCTCTCACCCCTACCTGTTCCCTTAAGCAGAGGAAGAGCCTCCCTTTTGGAGCAGCCTCATCTTACTTGAACTTGGAGAAGCTGGGTGAAGGTTCTTATGCTACAGTTTACAAAGGGATTAGCAGGTAAGTGACTCATAGCTGGATAGATTTTAGAGATGAGGATCCCACCCCGCCCCTGATTTGACCTTGTAAAGCCAGGTGTCACAAAGCAGAAGTTCAGGACCTGTGCAAGATACCGTGGTCAATAGGGAGAGACATGATGATTTAAATAGCCTTTAAAGAAAACCAAATTTCTCCTGCTCCAATTAAAATCAGCCCACTAAGCCCTGGCCAGTGTGGCTCCATGATTAGAGCATTGGCCGCTCACCAAAGAGTTGCAGGTTTGATTCCTGGTCAAGGGCAGGTTGCAGGTTCGATCCCCAACCCTGGTTGGAGTTGTGCAGGAGGCAATCAATTGATATGTCTCTCTCACATAGATTTTTTTTTTCTCTTTCTCTCTCTCTCCCTTCCTCCCTCCCACTCTATCTAAAAAAATTCAATGGAAAAGTATCCTCAGGTAAGGATTTTAAAAAAAATAATAAAAAATAAATAAATGAAATAAAATCAGCCCCCTAAGATGTTTATCAACTTTTCTTCTCTTTTATTCATTTCAAAGTAGACTTCCTCTACTACTGATCAAAGAACAATTAACTTGTTCTTTGCCTGGTAGGAAGTGCAGTTGGTAAGATGTCTCTAAAGTGTTTTTCATGTCCCTCCCTAAAACATAACAGGAATCTGCAATAGCAACCGAGTTTGCGCCTTCATTCATTTTTTTCTTCATAGAAAAACTGAAGTTGGTTTCTATAATATGCAAATGATTAATCTTGGGTTTTCTATACTTTTAAAATATATAGAATGGCTGGAGAATAAAAATACTGCTAATCCAGAAGCCAAATGCTCATGTTGGCTAACAATAACTGTTAAACATACATGAAATATCCACAAATTCCACTGTTTTTTAATAAAAAAATAATAATAAAGTTGGAGGTCTGATTTCTTTATGTCACATCAATGTTGAATAATAATGGCTCAATAGTGGTCAAATGTTAATTTAAAAATTTTAATATAAATATGACAATACTAAATATTCATCATCTTAGTACTTATGTTAATATGTATGTTTACTTGTTAAAACAGGATTTTAGGGGAAATATTTTAAATATATTATGTAGAGGGATTCTAAGAATTGAATACAGTTTTTTTTAATAAAATGCTTTTATCTCATCAAAATATAAATAAATATATATATTATGTAGAAACAGGATTTAATATACTTCCCTGGACTATCTTAGGAACCAAGAATGTAAGATTTCCTTTAGAGAACTCAGCCTAGTAACAGGATAAAAAATACATTAGAAATACTTGTCCAAGTGCACCAGAGATACATGTAAAGATTATATGCGGCAAGATTTATAATAGAAAGAGTAAAAACCTGATCACAAATATTTATTAATGAAGGACTGGCTAAATAATCACCGTACAAAGAACTAATATGCAGCCATCTAAAGTATGAGATAGATCTACTAATATGGAAAGATGTCCAATATTTTAAAAGACAAAAAACCAGTTACAGAACAAAATGCTCTCATTTAGAAAAAAAAAGCACTCAAATGTACTTACTATACATGTAAAAATTTGTGCATAGCACTAATAATTATTAAAAATAGATACTTCTAGTGGTTGATACTGGGATGGGGAAAGAAAGATCACTAAAACGTTTCACTTTATTTCTCAGCACAAAGGCATTCATTATATTTATAATTTAAAAACAAGTTTAAAAATATCATAGAAATAGATGCCAAAAAGCCATTTGATAAATTCAACATCAATCACCAGTTTTTAAAACTCTGAGCAAAATAGGAATAGGATGATACTTCCTCACTACGATGTAGAATATTTCATATCAATAGCCCACACACTTTTTTGTTATTGTTATTAAATACTAGAGAGACATCACTATTAATTTAGAGATAGGACAAGAATGCCAATTATCTTTTATAGTTAAAGATTATCATTAATGTTCTAGTTAATACAATAAGGGAAGAAAGAATGAATATCATTTTTGTGGATTATAGAATTGTCTACCTAAAAACCCAAGAGAATCATCTAAGAAATTATCAAAAGTAGTATGATAAACAGTAAGATCAATTACAAAATAAAAATACACTTATCAAAAGTTGTCTTTAAGTATTAGCAATAACCATTTAAAAGAAAATATAGTAGGGGAGATAACACTCAGTAGCAACAACAAAAATGGGCAGGATTTATATAAAGATTCATTAAGGGATATAAAAAACTCAAAGAAAGAGCCAAAACGGCATTCATTTTATTTTTTTCATACACCTGTATCAGTCTACAAATATTTGTAAGCACCTATTATGTACCAGGCACTATTTTAGCCAATAAGGATTCATCTGAGAACAAGAGACAAAAAACCCTGCTCTTATGGAGTATACATACTAGTGGAGGTGAGATAGGCAATAAACTAGTTAAATATTGAGTTTGTCAAAGAGTGCAAAGTGCTTTGAAAAAGGATAAAACAGGGAAGAGGGGTAGGGAGTGCCAGAGCTGACAGAGTGATGAGAGGAGGCCTCACTGAGAAGGGATCACTTGAACAGAGACTCTGACGCAGCGGAGGTGTGAGCTGTGCACATGTGTTGTGGAAGAGAGCTTCAGGCAGAGGGAACAGCAAGTAAGAAATCCCTGAGGCAGGAGCAGGCCTGGCACTGGAAGGGAAGAGTAGAAGCAGATGAGGATAGGGAGAAGATGCAGTTGCAGTAGGATTAATATATGGGGTCCTGTGGATCATTCCAGGGATTGTTGTAAGGATATTTGGATTAGAACATCTAATAGTGCAAAGATGTCAATGATTCGCTAATTTAGAGTCTTGTGTATTATAAATGTGTTCAAAAGCTACAATAATTAAATAGTGTAGCACACATATAAGAAAAGACAGATCAAAGAAATATGAGTTTAAAAAGTCCAGATAGTCACAAATTCATTAGTAAGATCTCATATATAATTGTGGTGGCATGTCAAATCAGCAGGAAAAGGAGACAGTCCAACAGATGGAGCTGGGACAATTGTTAGCAACTTGGAAAGGCAAAAGTATACAGTATAAATTCCCAGTAGATTAAAGAGTTAAATGAAGAAAAAAATCCAGGAACTAGAATAGATAAGAGAATTCTGTTATTTGATGAGGTAGATACCTAAATAATACTTAAGTCAGAACCCATAAGGGAAGATTGGAAATGTCCATGGTGCCCCATCTATCCAAGTATGTTCTACAGAACCCAGATTCTGAGACACCTTAATAGAGGTTTCACTGAAACAGTTACCATGGTCAAATTGACACAGGGAACCCTAGAAGAAAGTAAAGTGTGATCCTTATTGTAGGTGCTGTCAACATCTTTAAAATGTTATTGTATACCAGTACTATCTAAGAAAGGTAATAAAAATTAAAAATATAAAGCATTTTCTAAACATACTTGACAAAAAAAGATTTTTGGAGTGGGTGGAGAGAATTTCACAGAGCTATAATCTGAGTAAATCATTTTGGAAAAAATGTTGATCATTAAGTTTTTATTTGTATTTTTATTTTTTTATTAATTAATTTTTGTTACAGATGTTTCTCCTTTTCCCCCCACTTACTCCCCCCTCCCCCTCCCTGCCCTGCCCTGTCCCCAGCTTTGTTGTTCATATCCATTGTTCATGCAGACATGCATATAAGTTCTGTGGTTTATCTCTCCTCCACCACCCTCTCTTCTGGGGATTGTCAGTCTGTACCCCACTTCCACGTCTCTGGGACTACCCCATTCCTCAGACTGTTATGTTCATTATATTCCACAAATAAGTGAGATCATATGATACTTGTCTTTCTCTGTTTGGCTTGTTTCGTTTAGGATAATACTTTCCAGGTCCCTCCATGTCGTCTCAAAGGATAAGAGATCTTTCTTTCTTACAGCTGCATAGTACTCCATTGTATATATGTACTACTGCTTTTTTTTTTTTAATCCTCACCCGAGGACACTTTTCCATTTTTTGTACAGATAGAGTGGGAGGGAGAGAGAGGAAGGGAGAGAGAGAGAGAAACATCGACGTGAAGGGACACATCGAGTGGCTGCCACTCGCACGACCAACCAGGGCCGGGGACAAACTGCAACCGAGGTACGTGCCCTTAGCGGGAATCGAACCCGGGTCTCTCCGGACCGCAGGCCGACGCTCTAACCGCTGAGCCAAACTGGCCAGGGCTGTACTACTGCTTTTTTATCCATTCGTCTACTGATGGACACTTGGGCTGTTTCCAGATCTTAGCTATTGTAAATAATGCTGCTACAAACATGGGGGTACATATATTCTTTCTCATTGGTGTTTCAGGCTTCTTAGGGTATATTCCTAGAAGTGGGATCACTGGGTCAAATGGAAGTTCAATTTTTAATATTTTGAGGTAACACCATAATGTTTTCCATAGTGGCTGCACCAGTCTGCATTCCCACCAGCAGTGTACTAGAGTCCCCTTTTCTCCACACCCTCGCCAACACTTGTTGTTTGATGATTTGTTGATGGCGGCCATTCTGACAGGTATGAGGTGATACCTCATTGTTGTTTTAATTTGCATCTCTCTGATGATTAGTGATGTTGAGCATTTCTTCATATGTCTCTTGGCCATTTGTATGTCCTGTTTGGAGAGGTGTCTATTTAGTTCCTCTGCCCATTTTTTAATTGGGTTCTTTGTCTTCCTTTTGTTGAGTTGCATGAGCTCTCTCTATTTATTGGAAATTAAACCCTTATCTGATATGTCATTGGCAATGATGCTCTCCCATACAGTGGGTAGCCTTTCCGTTTTGATGATTGTATCTTTTGCTGTGCAGAAGCTTTTGAGTTTGATGTAGTCCCATGTGTTCATTTTCTCCTTTGTTTCTATTGCCTTAGGTGATATATCAGTGAAAATTCTGCTGCATATGATGTCTGAAATTTTGTTGCCTACATTTTCTTCTAGGATTTTTATGGATTCATGAGTCACATTTAAGTGTTTTATCCATTTTGAGTTTATTCTTGTGTAGGATGTAAGTTGATGGTCTAGT